GGAGGAGTGGGAAAAAAAAGTACCACTACATGTTCAAGGTCAGGCTGGCTTAAGGGTGAGATCCTGCCTCAAAAAAAAAAAAAAAAATCAAACAAAAACTTAACCAGCAGCCCATCTGTCTCGGCTGAGTCTGAAGGTCAGTGGAGCTCATGAATCCTACATTCCTCTAAAGCTGTCTTCAGGGGCACAGCCTACAGTGTGCTCATCTCTTCTGAGATGAAGGTCAGTGGAGCTCATGAATTCAGCATTCGTCTAAGGCTGTCTTCAGCGGCACAGCCTACGGCATGCTCATCTTTGTGCCCTACATTATTGCCTGGCTGAGGCTAAATACAAGTTTGTTGATGGAGTGAGTGATGTGACATTAGAAGGTCTCTCCAGACAACAGTTAAGACACAAGGTGGCCAAAGCGAGGTCCGACTTAACGCTCACACTTTCTTAACTGTGTACAACTCTTCCCCTTCTCCCTGCTCTGACTTGCTCCCACCTTTTCTTCTTCTGGGTCATCATTACTGCAGTCCTCACACCTGCCCTCTCTTTTGACATCTTCTCAACCATGTCCAATTCAGGCAGTCAGGTCCTCAAAGAGCAGAGCAGACTGGGAGGTAGGGACAGGAGGGCTTGTACACGTGTGTGCATGTACATGAATGTGCAGCAGACTGGGAGGGGAGGGCGTGTACACATGTGTGCATGTACATGAACGTGCAGCAGACTGGAGGTAAAAACAGGAGGGTGTGTACACATGTGTGCATGCACATGAACATGCATGTGTTTGGAGGCTGGAGGTCAACACTGGCTTTCTTCCTTTAATGTTCCCTACCTTACCCTGACTGATCTGCAACCACTTAATATGTAAACCAGGCTGTCTCAAACTTCCAGAGATTTGCCTGCCTCTGCCTCGGGAGTGCTGAGATTAGGTATGGGCTATGATGCCCCACCTTTCTGAGAAAGGGTCTCTCACAGATTCAGGAGGTTAGCTAGCCAGAGAGCTTGCTGTTACAGAAACACACAGCAGATGCCCAGCCCAGACCTGGGCATCTGAACTCAGTTCCCTAAGTTTGTGTGGCAGACATTTTATTGACTGCACTACTTCCCTAGACCTGATTTATGTTGTTTTAAACCGCAAAACTTGGAGTTAGAGAAATGGCTCAGCAGTTAAGAATACTTGCTGCTGGGGGTTGGAGAGATGGCTCAGTGATTAAGAGCATTGCCTGCTCTTCCAAAGGTCCTGAGTTCAATTCCCAGCAACCACATGGTGGCTCACAGCCATCTATAATGGGGTCTGGTGCCCCCCATAAAGATAACAATTTAAATAATTCTATCCAGTTGTGTAAGTGCTCACATACTGGATCAGATAATTATTTTAAAAAAAAAAAAAGAACACTTGCTGCTCTTCCAGAGGACGTGACTGCAGCTCCCTGTACACACTGGGTAGTTCTCGATTGATTGTAACTACAACTCAGAGGATCCAGTGTCCTCTTCTGGTCTTTACACAGACACACAAATACAAATAAGATGAATCTTAAATTAAGATTAAGAGCCGAGCTAGGTGATAGTGGCTCACGCCTTTAACCCTAGCACTCAGAGGCAGAAGTAGGTGGCTCTCTGTGAGTTGGAGGACAGCCTGGTCTACAGAGTAAGTTCCAGAACAGTCAGGGATATACAGAAAAACCCTGTCGAAAAATGGAAACCAAACCAAACCAAAATTTAAGATTAAAATAAATCCTGCTGAGCAGTAGTGGCACACACCTTTAATCTCAGAACTCAGGAGGCCATCCTGGTCTACAGAGTTCAAGGGCAGCCAGGGCTACACAGACAAACCCTGTCTTGAACTCCCCCTACCAAAAGAGAGAGAGAGAGAGAGAGAGAGAGAGATATTAAAATAAACCCTTAATGTTGTTTTTCAAACTAAGTCTACTGTTCTATCTTATCAATAAAGACTCGGGAGCCAGATGTTGGGGTGAAAACCTGCTAGCTCAGAGGCAGAGAAAGCATCCAGCTGCTTCCATTGTTGTCCCAGAAAGCAAGCTTTCTCCTACGCCATCTGAAAGAAAACACCGTCTACTTCCTGTGTGTCTCTCAATCCTCCTGATTCCCTCTTACTCTCTATGGTTTTTCCTGTCAGTTGGTTGCTTGCTTTGCCTCTTGACCTATGGTTGATTTTATTTAATCCTGTTTACAATATACAAGCAGAAAGCTCTTGGATAAAGGTGTGTTAGGGCTGAGCCATACCACAACTAAAAACAGGTTTTTCCAGTAAATAACTGGAAAAATCCTGGGGTTCACAGTGTGATCAAATATCCTGCAACACCCTGAACTCATAAATTTTTTTAGAGTAGCAAATAGAAAACTGAATTGCTGCAGCACTCATTTCCCTAAATCACACTTGACACTTGATAAGTTGATTTTGGTGGGGGGGGGGGTTGAGATAGGGTTTTTCTCTGTGTAGCTGTCCTGGTAGTTGCTCTGTAGACAAGGCTGGCCTCGAAATCACAGAGATCCACCTACCTCTGTCTGGGATTAAAGTGCTGGATTAAAGGTGTGCGCCACCATCGCCTGGCTTCATAAATCATTTACTCAACCATACTGGATAGTACTGCATCCTGCCTTTCTGGATGCTGGGATGATCTGCCTGCAGGGGACTTTAACAAGGAACCACCACACAACATGGAATTCAGACACCTTAGCTGTAGAAAGCTCTTGCTGACAGATTGCAACTGACCTCACCTTCTGCCAAGCCGGCAGCCCAGTTTCTCCAACATGCCTTCTCTGCAAACCTATGTCTTTACTCTCATTGGAACTTCTCATCAAACTCCTCCCTGCTACTCAGTCATTAACCTCCAATCTCCTAGTCTTGGCCTCTATTAATTCACACACTCATTTTAGCGAGAAGCCTTGCCTGCTTTGCCAGCATTTGTTTCTTCTTTCCTTGTAACTCTGTCTCTTTCTGGGAAAAGCGGAGACAAGGGTCTCTCTATGCAGTGCTGGCTGTCCTGGAACTCAAGAGATCCATCTGCTTCTACCTCCTCGGTGCTGGGATTAAGGCGTGTGCCATCATGCCTGATTTTTCTCCGCATAGCTCTTTTATTTTTATTTATTTTGATTTTTAGAGAAAGGTTTCACCCTGTAGTCCAGGCTGGTTTGGAGTTCTCTATGTATTGTAGGCTGGTTCATACAATCCTGCCTCATCCTCTTGAGCGCTGGGATTATAGGCAAGAGCTACCACACCTACCTTCTGAATATCTTTTGAGGGCATTTACCACATAGAGTCATGGTTTCCAGATCCCACAATATGCAGCTGCTCAAGTACCCTATATAACATAGGATATAGGGTTTGCATATAACCTCCCATATACTTTAAGTCATCTCCAGATTATAATATCTAACGTGACGGAAATCCTATGTAGTTTTATTGCATTGGGAATACTGACAAGAGGAAAAGTCCCAGTCAGACATGGTGGTCCATGTCCATAATCCCAGCGCTTTGGAGTCTGAGACTGGAGAATTGCCATGAGTTTGAGGCTACTCAAGCTACATAGAGAGGGCTTGTGTCCAAAACCGAAACAAAACAAAAAAAAGCATGTTTGTTTGGTAGGCTTTTCTTTTTATTTATTTATTTTTTGAGATAGGGTCTTACTATGTAGTCCTTGGCACCCTGGAGCTCACCACTTAAGACCAGCCTGGCCTTGTACTCACAGACAGAGGCATTGCTTGCCTCTGCCTCCCAAACGCTGGGACCTAAAGGCACTCACAACCACACCACATTTATTTATTTAATGTGTATGTGTGTGTGTGCCTGAGTGTACATATGTGCACCATGTGCTTTCAGGAGCCCTTGAAGGTCAGAAGAGGGTAAGCAGGCCCTAGAACTGGAGTTAAAGGCACTAGTAATCTGTCCTATGGGTGCCAGGGACCAAACGTGAGTCCCCTGCAAAAGCAGTCAGTCTTCTTAACCACGGAGCGGTCATTCTAGTCCCATTTGTTTACTTTAGCATTTTGACCCATACTAGTTGTCAAGTCCAAGTCCATCTTGTCTTTAGCTCCTTAGTGGCACCTATTCATCTTTGTGTATAGCCAGGAATGGCCCTGGACTTCAGGTTCCTTAGACTGGGTTGCACTGTCCAAATAGCTCAATCCTGCTCTCAAACTTGAGTGTTCTTTGACTCTTAGTTGGCCTCTATGTTGTAATTAATGCTTGAATTGACTTTCAAATTGACTGGATTTCACAGCAAATTCTGGCACCTACAGCCTTCATTTCCACAAAGGAGTCATTAGCTGAGCTGATTAGTTAGGGCCTGCTTCTCATTTCACCCTGAATTTTTAAAGGACGGATTTGCCTCAAACTCATGATCCTCCTGCCTGCACTGGGGTTACATACATGCACGTTACCATTCTTTTTCTCGAAGTAAAACTAAAAGCTACATTTATAGGAGGTGTTTCACTTGAGTCCTAACGGCATTTAAGTTTTCAACAGCTTTTCACCAATAAAACCAAATGAGTTCTGACACACATCCCTGCAGAGTAAAGCAGGCATAAAAGGGAGAGGCGGCCATGGGTCAGAAAGGTGTTTGGAAACGGTTGCATCAGGAGCTCAAGAGTCATTTACAAAATGAATCAACGAAAGAACGAACCAACCAACGGATGAGCACATTACTGCTTTGTAAAGGGGAGACTAATGGAGGACATTATCAAGGCGTTTGGGAGCCATTCCTCAACAAGCGTTGAGCTTGAGATAGATGCTCTCAATAAACAAACGGACAAATAAAACAAACAAACAAAAAAAACCCGACAAAGAGCAAGTTACTGCCAATTCCAAAAACCCTTATGAATGAAGGAGCGGGAGCAAGCGCACCTGGGGGCACAGGGCCACGCCGGTGAGGTTTCCCTCGCTTTTCAGCAGGCGTGCTGCAGATGCCTTGCCGAGTGGCCCCAGGCAGCGTGGCCCCGTGCACGACCTCCTCCTCCAGGAAGCCCTCTTCCCCACCCTCCTGCCCCACCCTTACAGGATATCCTCGCGGAAGGAGGTGCCGTGGTTGAGGTTGTGGAAGCGGACGGAGACGCAGTCCCTCACAATGAAGGAGCATCTGGTCTCCTTTTTGTAGGCGCTGAAACACTCCTTGAAGTCCTCGTAGGTCTTGAAGCAGCTGCCTAGCTCCATGGCCGGGGACTGGCCCGCACCAAAGCCCCAGAATCACGCCAGCGGTCAGAGGTCACCGGGAGCGGGCCGGCATGGGTCCAGGTGGGGACTCGACTGGGTGGCCTATGGGGAGCTCGGGAGGAGCAGGAGAAGAGACCGGTTACAGCAACCTGAGGGCGACTTTGCTGTGTGTCAGAAGGGAAATGACACTCATCCCTTATTATTCAGTCCCAAGGCTCCGCCCCCTCACGGATTTACCCAATCACACGCGGATTTCCCAAACTGGCACACATACTCTCCAATCATAAGATAGAAATAGCTCCGCCCACCGTAGAATTGACAAGTACATTAACCAATCATAATCTGCATCTTCCTCCGCGAAGCCTTCGGGATTTCCGGCCACTGGGGCGACCTGCCGGAAGCGCTGTGCACCTATATAAGTTTCCGCGTCTGTGACAAAGCGCAGTGTATCCCGCGCCCACGGTGGGAGGTTAGGATGTCAGCGCCAAAAGCCCCGGGGGATGCGCAAGGCGACGCCGACGGCGACGACCTTTCCGGAGACCTCCGTAGTGTGCTGGTCACCAGCGTGCTCAACCTGGAGCCGCTAGATGAGGATCTCTTCAGGTAGCCGGCGGCACCCGGAACCGGGCCCGCATCCCTGCTGCAGTATAGAGAGCCGCGGTCGCCGCCGCTCCCCCATGACCCCCCACTTCTGGGCTTAAGGGTTCTGTTCAGGCTGCAAGCTCTGCGGCAGTTAGGAGAAGGCGTGTCCCTGACACCCGCCCTTGCACTGGGTTACCCTACAAGGCAGCTTAGCCTGGTAGAATCAACCTAGAGAGGGCAGTGATTTACCAGAGGGTACACAGCGGATCGGTTTTTAAAACCAATACACAACTCTAATAAACTCACTGCCATTTTTACTCCATCCCTTCCCTGCACCACTAACTGGGGTCTGGTAAGTCATTTTTTTTTATCCTGGGGTATGCTTTCTTTCTCCCCGACATCACTGAAGTTGGTGATCGCGACACGGGTTTGTAACAGTTTTTTATTTTGTTTTGAGACAGGGTGTCACTATATGATCCTGGCTGTCCTGGAACTCACTACATAGACCAGGTTGGCTTAGAACCCACAGGGATCCACCTGCCTTTGCCTCCTGAGTGCTAGCAGGAGAGCACCAACCACCATTCCTGGCTGGTTAGTGACAGTTTTTGTTTTTTGTTGTTTTGGTTTTGAGACAGGGTCTCTCTATATAGCCCTCCCTGGCTGTCGTGGAACTCTTTGTAGACCAGACTGGCCTTGAACTCACAGGCATCTGCCAAGAGTCCCTAGAGCTAGGGTCAAAGGAATGCACCATCACCCTTGTTTAGTGGCAGTTTTGACCTCCACCACTCTCTGATTTTATCAGAAACTATCTTAACCTGGATCTCTCTTTCTTCCACCTAGGTAATTACAGCTCCCTAGGCCAGGAGTGGTTTTCAAAAATGTATTGTAATGGGAAATAATAACCTCAGGGCTGGGTGGTAGGACTCAAGGTTCACCTCCAGCACTGGGCAGGCCCTTTCACCTAGAAAGCCGGGCCAATTTGTTCATCTGTAATATGAATTTCACAACCTCAGACCTTGGATAGTTATTTATTTATGTTTTTAAAAGACAGTTTGATGGCATGACTCAGGGCCCTTTTAGCTCTGAAGCCAGTTCATACGTTGCCAGTTAAGGAGTGCCAGGGACAAGCCTTCGTCCGTACAATCCAGCCCCAGCTCTGCTTTGGGGTTTCTTGTGTCCATTCAAGGCCTCAAGTGTCTTCTGGCCTCTGCCTTTCCCTGGTGTGGGGAAGGGAAGAAACTGTCCAGGATTGGGAATGGTTGAGTTGAGTGAACTCGTTCTCTGTACGGCTGCTGTAAACCGAGGGAGCTAGCTTGTTATGCTCGACTGAAGTCCACAGAGGGCCTGGGTAGACATAAAAACTGAAGTTTTATGCAGAGATTTTGAGAGCAGAATCCTTGGCTTTTCTCGGGTTCTCAAAAAGGACCCAAATAACCACAAGAGACCCTTCACTTGAGGCTTACGGAATCCAGAGCGCTCTTCAAGTCTTTTCCATTCTCCTCTCCCCACAGAGGAAGGCATTACTGGGTACCCACCACCCAGCGGCTCTTTGGGGGTCAAATTGTGGGCCAAGCCCTGGTGGCTGCTGCCAAGTCTGTGAGTGAGGACGTCCACGTGCACTCCCTGCACTGCTACTTTGTCCGGGCAGGTAAACCCCAAACCCTGGCTCCTTGTCTGCAGCCATCCCTGGTAACCCAGCAGCCACTGCTCCCTGGTCTGGGCAGGTAAACCCCATACCCTGGCTCCTTTCTTGCAGCCACCATTGGTGTCCCAGCAGCCACTTCTTCCTGGCTTTGAAGACTAACTCAAGAGAAAGGGGATGAAATGGGAGAATCAGAGAAGCAGATGGAGAAGGGAGAGAGAAGATCCCATGAAAGGTCCCTAAGGGGCTGCAGATGTAGCTTAGTAGTAGAGCACTTGGCTAGCACATGAAAGCGACTGTTTTCCATCTCAAGTACCAAAAAAACGCAGGAAGGGAGCCCATCATGTTGGCCCAGGTCTGTGGTCTCAACATTGGGGAAGCTGGGATGGGTTTGGAAGCAACCTAGATGCTTAGCACACTCCCCAAGATCCACTAAATACTTGTTCTCTGGTTCTTAATGCTTATGTGGTCTTGGTGGGCCTTTCCCTGTAGCTTTTTTGTTTTTAATTTTCCATTGTGATAGGGTCTCATTCTGTGTAGCCCTGGCTGGCCCCAGCCTTCATGACACCAGGCCTGGCTCTGTTCTATATTCAGTCTGTTTGTTTATTTGTTTTGTTTTTTGAGACAGTCTCACTGGATTCCTGGCTGACCTGGGACTTAGAGATCTGCTTGCCTCTGCTTCTTGAAACCAGGGATTAAAGGCATTTACCACCATACTCAACCCTCTTTTATTAAAAAAAAACATATGTAATTGCATATTTTTTAAATGTATGTATGCCTAAATGAATTTACATGCACCATGTTGCTTTCCTATTGTCTGAGGTGACCAGAAGAGGACATTGGATATCCTAAAATTTGCAGTTACAGGGGATTGTGAGCCACCATGTAGGTGGTAGGAACCAAACATGGGTCCTCTGGAAGAACAAAAAGTGCTCTAACTGATAAGCCATCTTACCATCCCCTTTTTCACTTGGTTATTGTCATTGCTGTTTTGAGACAGGCTCTCACCTGGCTGACCTGAAACTCGCCATTTACACCAGGCTGCCTCTTGAACTCACAGAGATCTGCCTGCTTCTGGCTCTCATTTGAGTGTTTGGCACTAATGGCTCTCTTCAGTCTTTATACTCTTCTAGGGTCAAGACTGCTAAATCTTCAGAGTGCTGTAAACTTTCGGGCTAGGAGCTATGCAGTGTGGGTTGGGAATTCAGTTTCAGCTTTATAATAATTACTAGGGTAATCTTGAATGAGATCACCTTCTGAGATTGGTCTCATTGGTGAAATAGAGGAGGGGTGGGACTAGAGATATTTCAATAGGATCTTTTAGACTCTTAAAGCTCTGGGCTCAGGTACAGGGGAGTTCTCATTGCAAACTCTTGGTCTGGGCTGGTTATGTAGATCAGCAGTTGTATGGCTGCTTGCAGAGTGGAGGCCCTATGCTCAATTCCCAGGACTACCAGGAAAAATAAAACAATGGGACACTGCCAAAAAGCAGACACATGTCCTTCCAGATGACTCAGCAGAGAAAGGCCCTTGTAACCCAAGTCCAATCCCTAGGACCTGAGGAAAGGCAGAAAAGAGCCAACAGCACACTCCTTCCCTCCGCCCTCTTCTGAAGAGGTAACTACTGCCTCCCCAGCTTCCCCTTCTCTCCTCTCTGTCTCTTCACTCCAGAATTCCCTTACCCATTAAATAAACCCCTCCCCAAAAGAACCAACACCATTGAGTTGTCCTCCAGCCCCAGCATGCTTACCATGGCGAGCCACCCCTCATATAGTCACATATACACACAATAATAATCAATTTAAAAATACCCCACAATAAACAACACTTGCTTTACACTGTTTCTTTATATTGAGGATCACTGTGTTCCATATAGCCTAACCAGTCGCCGGTAGCTCATGCCTTTAGTCCCAGCATTTGGGGAAGCACAGGTAGGTGGATCTCTGTGAGTTCAGGCCAGCTTGGTCTACAGAGCAAGTTCCAGGACAGCCAAGGCTACACAGAAATCCTGTCTTAAAAAAACAAACAGAGGGGCTGGAGAGATGGCTCAGAGGTTAAGAGCATTGCCTGCTTTCCCAAAGGTCCTGAGTTCAATTCCCAGCAACCACATGGTGGCTCACAACCATCTGTAATGGGGTCTGGTGCCCTCTTCTGGCCTGCAGGCATACACACAGAGAGAATATTGTATACATAACAAATAAATAATTAAATAATTTAAAAAAACCAAACAGAAAGAAAGAAAAAGAAAATATTGGGTGACTGGTAACCAAACCTGAAGACCTGAGTTAAATCCTCAAGACCCACATGATAGAACAGAAGTGACTCCTACAAGTTGTCCTCTGTATCTCAGTTGGCAAAGCACTTACCTAGCATGAGTGAGGGTGACCCTCTTCAGCCCAAACAGCAAGGGCTTGGTCAATAACTAACAGCTCTGCTACTTTTGCCTGTTTCTGACTTTGTACCAAGTGGAGAAAGCCAAATGTGTGTCCCTAACAAATCCCATAGACTGCTCCCTTCTGTTTGGTTTACCTGCAGTTTCCCTAGGCTTGCAGCCTCCAGTCAGGGCACACCTAGCACGTTATACTTGTTTTCTACTGTAGAGATGTCACACTCACACGCCTGTCTGGGTCTCTGCCAAAAGCCAGTGACAGCAACATATTGAGAAGTCTGTCTTTAAAAAAAAAAAGATTAAAAAAAAAGATGGGCATTCCAGCACTGAGAGGCAGAGGCAAGGGGTTGCCCTGAGTCCCAGAACAGCCTAGGCTACAGAAGGAAACCCTGTCTCAAAATGACAGCAGCGGAAACTGAGGATGAGAACAGAGGTGTCTGTTTACCAACTGTCATGATTATGGGGCCCATGGATTTACTCAGGGTCACCTTGTCCCTTATGTCCACTGTAGGGGACCCAAAGGTGCCAGTGCTATACCATGTGGAACGGACGCGAACAGGCGCAAGTTTCTCAGTGCGCTCCGTGAAGGCCGTGCAGCATGGTAAAGCCATCTTTATCTGCCAGGCCTCCTTCCAGCAGATGCAGCCCAGCCCCCTGCAGCACCAGTTTTCCATGCCCACTGTGCCTCCACCAGAAGAGCTGCTGGGCCACGAGGCCCTCATCGACCAGTATTTAAGGTGAGAATGAGGACTCCAGAGAGGAGGCTTTTTGTTGTTTTTGTTTTGTTTTTGAATTTTCAAACTTCTTTTATTCTTTAGTTTTTATGGTTCTAGGGATCAAACCTAGGGGGTCTCGTGTGCTAGGTAAGTCTGTTCTACCTCAAAGCTACACCTTAGACCTTAAAACATTTACTACTTTGACCTATAGTAAAAACACCGTTAGGTCCTGGGTATAATCTACATGCCTTCAGAGACAGGCAGATCTGTGAGAATTCAAAGCTAGCCTAGTCTACATAGGGAGTTCCCAGCCAGCCTGCCAGCCCTGTGTAGTGAGAGCCTGTCTTTAAATAAAAAGAAAACAATACTTAGATGATGTATTTTGATGCATTCTGATTTTTTTTCCTGACACAGGGTTTCTCTGTATCTTTGGAGCCTGTCCTGGAACTCACTGTGTAGACCAGGCTGACCTCAAACTCAAAGAGATCCACCTGTTTCTGCCTCCCAAGTGCTGGAATTAAAGGCATGTGCCACCACTGCCCAGCATGAATATATATACTGTATTTTTATTATATTTCCCCTTGTTAGCTCTCTTGGCCCTTTCTCTTCCCCTATAGTCCCAGGGCAGTGGTTTTGTTTTTGTTTTTCTCTCTTTTTTTCTTTTGCGACTGTTTTCTCTGTGTAACCCTGGCTGTCCTGGAACTCACTTTGCAGACAAGACTGGCCTTAAACTCAGAGATCTGCCTGTCTTTGCCTCCTAAGTACTGGGACTACTGGGTGGCATGCACTACCACCACCCAGGAGTGTGTTTTCAAACTCTGACTCCTACTCGTAAGTGGGTCATGAGCCCCTAAGTGGGTGTTGACTATGTACTAAAAGTATAAACCAGATCCCAGCACTTGGGAGACAGGGGGATCTCTGATTCCTAGGTTAGCTAGGGCTACATAATGAGATGTTTTCTCAAAAAAATGAGGGTGGGCTGAGAAGATGGCTCAGCCATTAAGAGCATGTGCTACTTTTGCCGAGGGCCCAAGTTTGGTACCCAGCATTCACAGGGTGACTCATAGCCACCTCTAATTCCAGTTTCAAAGGCTTTGACAGCCCCTTCTAGCTTTCATGGGCACCAAACACAAATGTGGCACACATAATAAATGCAGATAAACACCGATACACATAAAGTAAATACAAACTATTTAAAAATTTTATATAGAGCATGTGCTAAGTGTACCCAAGGCTCTAGGTTCAACCCCAATGCTGCATGCACATACATGTATGCGGGAATATACATATTTATATATAGTATATATAAGCAGAAAGGGAGATCCTGGAGTCCACTGTGCAAGGAGGGTAAGAGCCCTCTGCAACTTCAACTTCAGTTGTGTTTCTTGTTTGTATTAGCGTATGTGCATGTGTGTTGGGTCATATGTAAAAGGCAGAGCTTGCGCTCAGCTAGCAGCCAGCACAGGCATGGGATAGCTTTATTGTTATTAAAATATTGGCTTCGGGCCAGAGAGAGGGCTCAGCAGGTAAAGGTCCCTGCTGTACAAGTCTGGTCCAGTTCAATCCCTTGGACCCATATAAAGGTGTAAGTAGAAACCCAATTCTACAAGGTTGTCCTCTGATCCTTGCATACACACTGTAGAACTTGTGCATATTGTCCCCTACCCATCCATAATAAATTAAATAAAATGTTTTTAAAAAATTGACCTTGGGTTCAATCCTCTGTACTTGAATCCAACAATAAACTATTTTTGCAACCACTGGGTAAATAAATATCCTCCAGTCCCCTGACTGATCCCCCTCCTACCTCAGGCCTATCATGCAGCAGCTTTGGAGTTAATGTTTGGCAGGATGAGTGTCCTCCTCTGGGACCCTGTTGCAGAGTATGGCCTCCTGGTCAGTATCTTCACTTTGGTGTCTTTTAAATATTTTGACTCTATCTTGATAGCATATATTTCTCATTGAGATCATAACAAATAAAGTCTGGCAATGCTGGAATATGGGGAAGAGCTCTGGATACAGACATGGACACATGGCTTCTGACCAGGACTGTGGACTCTGTTAGTGCCTACCTGCTATAGGGTTCCCCATCCAGCAACCTTTTAAGGCCCTAGATTCTTCATCTGAAGTTGGGAGCAGTCAAAGTAGAAAGTTGTGCCAAAGGGTCCTGTAGCTTGTGTTGGACACTGGGGCAGCAGGAGGGCATGTGGGATGGGTGTGGGTTCGGGAGCCTGAATAGCCAGCGTTCAAGTCTAGGCTCTGTCCCTAATATTTGTATGAGTTTGGGCAAATGCTTGCCTACTCTGAGTCCATACCTTTGGTTATAAATGGAGCTAATTATAACTTTCACCTCCTAAGGCTGCTGTGAGGATTAAATGCGATAAGAGGTATAAAGGCACTTAGTGCTCTGTGAGTAGTTATACCACTAACAGACGAGCATAAAGCTGGGGCTTGGTGTGCAAAGAAATGAAGATAATGTATTCTTGTTAAAGGAGCCTGAATGTAAGGCTGTACACCTCAATAAGGTAGCTACTAACCCTATAGGCTATATGAAATTAATGAAATAGAATGAACAATTCTTTTCTGTGTGTGGTGCTAGGGATCAAATCCCCAGGCCTTTGTGCATGCGAGGCAGACTCTCTGCCACAGAGCCGCATTCCCATGCCACCCCCTTCATCAGTGTTGTTCTGTAGTCACAGCAGTCACATTTCAAGTTCTGTCTCATGTGGCTAGTGGCTGCCAGGGTGGACAGTGCAGATGGACAGTCTACCAGACGGGCTGGGAAGGCAGAGCCTGCTAAGAGCACTGTGGGCCCATGAAAATGGTGTCACCCCAGCACACAGGGCTCCTAACCGCTTAGGACAGAGAATGCAGATAACATAGGGAGACTTTTCTTGAATGTTCACAGTAATGCGTGGTTAGATGTATGAACTGTGGGTCCAGACTGCCTGACATCAGATCCTTCATTCTCCTGTGCTCATGTGTCTTCTCAATTGGAAAGATGACCACACTTGTCATGTGAAGACCTGGCAAGGAATGGGTTATGGTTGTGTGCAGTACTTGGGTTGGTGCCTGTTTTTTTTTTTTGTTTTTTGAGACAGGGTTTCGCTATAGCTTTGGAGCCTGTTCTGGACCTAGCTGTTGTAGACCAGGCTGACCTCGAACTCACAGAGATCCACCTGCTTCTGCCTTGCGAGTGCTGGGAATAAAGGTGTGTGCCACCACTGCCTGGCTGGTGCCTAGGTCTGTGTATGTTCGCTGCGAGACAGGTCACATCATTACTCTCCTGTTTCAGATGGGAAACAGGCTCAGAGAGATGACTGACTTGCATGTCACGGCATGGCTGAAGTGACAAGGAAGGGAATCAAACACTATATTGCTTTGCCAGCTCCATGAGGAAGCTTTGCTGGACACAAGTCCTTATGGACAGACATGGGGACCAGAAGAGGCAGCACAGAGACGCTCCCTCTCCTTGGGTCTCCTTGTCCCTATCTTTACTTTCAGGGACCCTAACCTCCACAAGAAATTCCAAGTGGGGCTGAACCGAATTGCTGCCCAGGAGGTACCTATTGAGATCAAAATGGTGAACCCACCCAGCCAGCTGAGTCAGCTGCGAACACTGGAGCCCAAACAGATGTTCTGGGTGCGAGCCCGGGGCTATATTGGTAAGAGGACCCATGAATTGGAGGAAAACACTCCAGGGGTCTAGGTCTTACCACTCATTTGCCATCTGTTGCTTGAGTATCCCATTCTCTCTTTGGGCCCGTTTCCAAATCTGAGTTATGCAGAGTTTGGCTCAGTTTCTCACCAGAACCCTTACCCTTTAACATGAGAATAATGAGGTGACTGTAATCCCATTGTTGGACCTTTCTGGGGAAAGCAAGATACCTTGCTGAGGTTCTTATCTAGGTCAGTAGCTAGCCATAGACGTCTTTGTGCAAACTGGAAGATGCCTATTTCAGGACCACAAAGAGTGGCTGGGGTAGAGGCTTGGGATTTGCATTTGTCTTACCTCTGTTCTCCTTCATCCCCACCGCCTTAATCCTTACACACACACACCCTGATCCTGGGCCAGGTGCCCTTGCACAATGATGAATTTGTGTGTAGTAGTCTTTTTCTCCCCACCTCCCTGCAGACCCTGCGCTGGAAAGCCAGGAGCCCAGGGCTGATGGGGTTGGGACCTGTTGCAGGGGAGGGCGACATCAAGATGCACTGCTGTGTGGCTGCTTACATCTCTGACTACGCCTTCCTGGGTACAGCATTGCTGCCCCACCAGTTCAAGTATAAAGTGAACTTCATGGTCTCACTGGACCACTCCATGTGGTTCCACGCCCCATTTCGAGCTGACCACTGGATGCTCTATGAGTGCGAGAGCCCCTGGGCTGGTGAGTGTGGGCCTGTGGGTCAGTGTCTCTGGGGTGGTAGGGAACCTGCTTTATTTATACATGCTGCTGTCTTTTCTTACTTTCTGGGGATGCTGTACAGGGCCCTTGCATTGCTGCCCCTCTAGGTATTCATGTTGTCTTCAGAGGTATTCTACATGCCAGGAATGATTGAGTTTCTCTCAGAGACCCAGCGCAGGTACCCAAACCACTTCAGATTTCATGTATGAACCTCAAAAGTCCTTTCTTCTTTCTGAAGCTTTTTCTTTTCTTTCTTTCTGTTTTGACAGGGAGGGGCAAAGTTTCATTATGGAGCTCTGACTTGCCTAGAATTTACTGAGATCCACATCTCTGCTCCCCAGCCCTGTCTTATGTAACCCCTGCTTGTCTTGAACTCTTTATAGAGTGGATTTTGGCCTGGAACTCCTGATCCTCCTGCCTCCACCTCCCAAGTGCAGGAGCCACCACACCCTGCTGCTTTTTTTTTTCTCATCTAAATAAATAGGGTTATATTAGTACTGTCTAAACCTAGTAAACCACCATGCTGCCACTTGAGGGAGCTTTTTCTAAACAGATTACAGTCTGCCCCAGCAGGTCCTGGATCAGGTCCAAGAAACTGCCCTTTTTGTTTGTTTGCTTGGTTTTGGTTTTTTCAAGACAGGATTTCTGTGTATAGCTCTGGCTGTCCCAGAACTTGCTCTGTAGACCAGGCTGGCCTTGAACTCAGAGATCCGCATGCTTCTGCCTCCCAAGTGCTGGGATTAGAAGCATATGCCACCATGCCCAGCTGTAAACTGTGTTTTAAGGAGCTCCCTGAGTGATTCCCTGAGTTGGCAAGATGGAGCAGGGCACTCAGTGGTCTCTAAGGATGCTCCTGTAGGGAACTGAGAGAAACTCAGACTCATTGATGTCTCGTGTTAGAGCCCTGGCTCTTTTATAATGAAGTACACGTCAAAGGAAGAAAAGCTTTGCTTTATAAAACGGACAAAACTTAAATAACCCCTTGCAGTCAGGAAAGGGTTACTCAGATGCCAGCAGCAGCACAGAACAGGGTCCACAACTTTGAAGTTAGGACACTCGGTCAGCTTTGGCCTGACCCTCGGGGCCAAGCCTGAGCCTCTGAGCACTTTAGTGTCCCTGTCTACGAGACAGACAGTACAAGAAACGAAGCCCCGCGTTCTCTGGCTATGGTTAGATCCGCGTGGGCCCTGCTGTGTGTAAAGAAAGCTCGAGTTAGCTTCCTGAAGGTAACTAACTCAGGACAGTCACCAAGGTTAAGAACCTCTAGATGAAGGGGGAGAGAGGCCATTACCTCATGGTCTCAGGTCCTCTCTGAGCTACCCCCTCCCTTGGTGGTGGATGACCAGCTGGGAGGACTTGCTTATCATTAAAGGAAAGAATGGGATTTCTGACCAGTGGCCAGAGAAGCAGCAGTCTGCTTAGCCAAGCCTGTGGAGGCTGTTTCTCTGGGATCTTTAGAGGAACTGAGCAGTTATGTGAAAGTGCTTTGGGGCCATCAAGTGGCTGTAACAGCTCACAAAGGGGCATTTGGAGTAGTTATATTCCAGTGTGCCCTTAGGTGGGGCAGCTCTGCCCTATGTCAGACCCCTCCACGACAAAGCAGGCTATGCTAAAGCAGAGGCCATTCTCTCCCTTCTTGCACACAGGTGGCTCACGAGGGCTAGTGCACGGGCGGCTGTGGCGTCGGGATGGGGTCCTCGCTGTGACCTGTGCCCAAGAGGGTGTGATCAGATTGAAGCCTCAAGTGTCTGCGAGTAAACTGTAGTCAAAGATAACTGGCTTGGCCTGGGGTTAAAAGAATTCTTTCTACTGCCATTCCTGAGGCAGGAGTCACAGTTGAGAGCTGGGTTTCCTGCCTGACATTCAATAAAGAGATTGCTAACACTGAAGTAGCTGACCTTTAATTTCCCTCCTCCTGTCTCTAAACTTCAGGACTCCAGTACTAGTACCCAGCCCTTCAGCCAACTGTTTTACTGGTGTAGAGGCCAAGGAAAAGGAAACAGGAAACACTGATCCTGACCTTGCCTACAGCCTCCGGCTGTGGTAGGCTGAAGAGCCCGCCCCAAAACTTCCTCCTTGTAGCATCCTAGGGTAACCCCAACCAAAGCCTGTTTGGAGTCCAGCCCCACAAATCCAAGTTCCTCTCAGTCTGCTGCACTCTTTCTCGGGAACTACTTTAGGGGCTCCCAGAACTCCTCAGACCCCGGCTGCTCACTGTGTCCTCTATTGCCCTCAGCCCCTTGACCTGGAGCAGCCCCTCACCCAGAAGCGGCCGCAAGACAAATAAAAGTTAGTCCAGCACCTCTTTGATAAGCAGCTCCTTGAGGCTGGGGGGTGGGATGGGGGTAAGGCCCGCCTCCTGTAGAGACTGAAGTTGGGCTTCTGTCTGCCGTTTGTCTAGGCCCAGGCGCCAGGAGAGTCGGACATGGGCCTCTAGAAAGGGTGCCAGGAAAGGATGGGGTCTCTTGTCCCCCAGCAGCTGCAGGGCCTTCTCACTACATGCTCGTGCTTCCCCAGGATCCTCCAGCTCCTGATGGCACACAGCCAACCCAGCCAGAGTCAACAGGGGGCGGTCTGGGCCAGAAGGGGTGCCCAGCTGGGTCTGTAGCTGCCAGGCGTTGGCCCAGAGTGCCAGAGCCTCGCGGTAAAGGCCAGTGCAGGTGAGGCTCTGCGCTCGCCGCAGCTCGGGCAGCACGAAGAAGTCGTGCAGGTCTGGGGCATGACGTAGCTCGGGCACTGCCTGCAGGTGACCCAAAAACTGTTCAAAGGCCCGGCTACGGCGGGCAATGGTTTCTGCAGTAAAGTTCCGGCGCAGACGCTTACGGGGGAAGGAGATGGCAGCCATGGGGCCCCGGAATTGCCGCTGCAGGTTTCTGTGCAGCCGCTCGAAGTCCGAGTAACGGCGGGAGATCTGGGCTGGCTGGCGATCTGGTGGCCCTGGGCCAATCACGGCGAGGGTGTAGAGCTGTAGGGAGGGTGGACATCAGGGCTGATATAAACCATCTGGTGGTTCTTTCCCTCCCTTCCACTCTTGGCTTTGCTTTCCACCTCAGCCCCCCACCTCCTCCCCGGGACTGTCTCGAGAAAGGAAGCTGCAGAGCAGTGGCCAGGAACCCACTCCCATCTTACCTGAGGCTCCTCTGAAATGACCCAAGGCCCAAGGCAGCACAGGGAAAAGAAAGACAGAAATGAACTTCAGCTTCTGGAGCTTGCTGCTTCTGGGAAAGTTCGCCCTGCCCCTAGGGAGTTAGTTCTTGGGAAAGCTTTAGGGAAACCCAGGAGTAAGCTGAAACCCAGAGCCATTTTGGGGGCCTCTGAGCCAATCTGAGAGCCAGCTTGGAACTGTGTACCACTCTGGATACATAGCTGTCCCCACATTACTGACCAGCCTCTTTCAAACCAGACCAAAGGACAAGTCTTCAGACAGCCACAGTGGCAAAACTAGGAGTTCACTGGTCCTGGACTCCGGTAACCCAAAGTCCAGCCTCCTTCTGGTGACTCTGCTCTAGGGAAAAGTTCCTAGGGCAAGGCCATTGTTTGCTCAGGTCTGGGACGTCCTAGTTCTGGTGCTCAAGGTCTTTAGGTGGCAGACACTGGTTTACACTGTGTAGACACAATGACTCTGCTTTCTCTTTGCTGCCTTTCTTTTTTGGCCCTCTAGAGTCTCACTGTGCAGCCCAGACGGGCCAGCCTCCTGAGTGGAAGGACTAAAGGAATTGTCACCATGCCTTGTCTCTTTAATTCTTTTTTTCTTGGGGGTGGGGAGTTAGTGTGTGTGTGTGTGTGTGTGTGTGTGTGTTGTTGTTGTTGTTGTTGTTGTTGTTGTTGTTGTTGCTGGGCACACATACCTGAGCTTGATGCCATAGCTTACAAATGGGGGTCAGAGGATACCTTTCAGGATTAAGTTCTCTCCTTCCGTCATGGGTTTTAAGGACTGAGCTCAGGTCTTCAGGCCATGACAAGCGCTGCGCTGTTTTGCTGGCAAGACTGTTTTGTTTTTGTTTTTTTTTTTTTGAGACAGTTTCATGTGCTGTATGATCTCAGCACAAGTTTGGCTGATCTCAAACTTGCTATGCAGACACTACAGGGGTTCACCACACCCAAGGGATGGGAGCCAGGGCTTTGTGGGTGCTAGTCAAGCACTCTACCAACTAAGTAAGTCACACCTCCAATCCTCTGGAATACACTGAGTCCAGGGCCTCTGTAGCCCAGGTTAGCCTTGAACACTTGGTGATCTGATCCTCTTGCCTCAGCCCCAAGAGCTGAGATTACATGAAGAAGGCACCAAGGATGGCTTTTCTTTCTTCTTTTCTTTTTCTTTCCTATTTTCTTAGATGGGGGTCTCCTTTTGTTGCCTGGTGGCTTTTGATCTAAGCTCAGGTGATCCTCCTGCCTCAGCCTTCTAGACAGCTGGGACTACAGTCATGTGCTGCCATGCTCATCCTTTCTGATCTTTTTCTAAAGCACAGATTGGTGCTTCTCTGACACTGTTCATCTTTATCTTTAGGAAAGAGCCAGAACTCTCAGTTTAAAAAGTGTTGAGGCAGGGTTTAGTGAACCCGGGCCTTTCCGAGCACGGTCATTGGTCATTGCGTGGCCTCTTCAGCCTCAAACTGTTTCTGGGGACTCTTAGGGCTTTGCTCGTGTTAGTACACATCTACTACTCCTGAGCTGTATCTCCAGTCCCTGCCCTCATCTGTAGCCCAGGCTGCCTCAGACATGCTAGGTATCAAAGGATGACCTCATAAACCTCTTTTCTTCACACATTATAGTTATGCTTCACCGTGCCTAGCGTGTGCGTGCGTGTGTGTGTGTGTGCGTGCGCGTGTGTGTGTGTGTGTTTGCTGTGAGACAGGGTCTCACTAAATTGTCCCAGATTATCTTAAATTCACTATGTAGCAAAAGCAAGCCTTAAACTTATGACCCCAGCCTGCCAAGGAGATGGGGTTACAGGCCTGAATCACTGGCCTGACAGCTCTATACTTCTTAAATTCTCTTCTTGACAAGTAGTGCCATAAAGGTGGCTTTAAACTTATTTTAGAAAAAGAGGGTTCCTTTAATGAACAATGTCCTGAAAGTAGGGCTGAGGCAGAACTGAATGATCAAGGGCTGCCTGGGTTACACAGTAAGTTCAAGACCACCCTGAGGCACTTGGTGAGACTATTATGCTTATAATGTTTTACAAACATTAAAAAGAAGACTGAGAATATAACTCAGGGGTAAAGCACTTGCCTAAGCATGTACAAGGCTCTAGTTTCAGTACACACACACCATCACCACCACCACCACTAAAAGTTAAGCAAAGAGTGGCATAAGTTACCTTTTATTTATTTTTAATTGTATCCGATGTGGAGGGCATGGGTGTGTGTGTTATGCTTGTGCACATATGCCACAGTAACATATGGAGGCCAGAACAACTGTGGGAGGTCATTCTCCTTCCACCATGGGTTCTGGGAATCAAACTCAGGTTGTCAGACAAATACCATTTCTCTGGCCCACTAGCAACATTTTTTTTTTCCCCAAGACAGGGTTTCTTTGTGTAGCTTTGGAGCCTGTCCTGGAACTTGCTCTGCAGACCAGGCTGGCCTCGAACTCACAGAGATCCGCCTGCCTGTGCCTCCCAAGTGCTGGGATTAAAGGCACGAGCCACCAACACCCAGCTCTAGGTTGATTTTTTAAATCTTAATATTTTTATTCTTTGAAAATTTCATATATGTATACAACATATTTTTATCATATTTACTCCCCTCTATTTTTATTTTGAATTTTCTGCCAAAGACTATTTTATATCCTTTATTTCACCTGATGCTTATAATGACCCCCCCCCAAGATAGGTAACAGTGGTTATAGTTATTGGTGCTTGGTGGTCCCTCGATGGCAGAGTACTTCCTAACATGCATGAGGCCATGGGTTCCATCTGCATCTCCTCACCCCCCTAACAGTGTGACTGTTGGTCTGTGGCCTGCCCTAAGCACTTACCCCGCCTCTCATGATGGACCAAGTACTTCTCCAGTTAGGTGCCCCTTAACCATCATTAACAGCATTGCGAGGAGATGTCTTGTCTGTCAACTGAGGAAGCAGGCTCCGAGAGGGAGCGGAGGGCACAAAGATCGGTCCCAAGAACTGATTCTAAAATCCGTGCTCTTGACCTCCCAGAGAAGAAATATGGAGACATGGGTGCCCACTGTACAGAGGAGGTGGCTTCATTTTCTAGACACAGGTCAGGATGGAAGAAGACTCTTGCTCTTCCTTAAACCTTTCTTAAGGTCCCCAGAGTCGCCCTGTTCTTTTCTAAGAGAGCTGTTCTTTGTTGACTGGTCCTGGTGTCTCACTCCTGTGCATGACCCCTTGCCTACCCCAGAGCTCTGGGATGTTTGCGACTTAAGATTGGACCATCGGGGGCTAGGAGTGTGTAGCTCAGTGGTACAGCATCTGCTTAGCATGCAGAAGGACTTGATCCTTAACAAGATATAAAACCTGCATCATCTATCCATCCTTGCACAAAGTGAAACAGTCACCCCATGGGTGTGGTCCTTGTTACTAACAGCAACAGAGAGGGGTGGAGAGACCCAAATATGGGGCAGGGCTCCATGTCCCCAGGGCTCTGGGCCCCCTGTCTTGCTGAGTCAGAGGTGGGGGAGGGTGTGAAGAGGAGGGAAGTGACAAGCCGGGGTGGGGGAGGGGGGTGAGGGAGTGGGGATGGGTGACCACTGCCAGGATGGGACCAGCTAGCTCAGATGGGTTAGACCTAGAGGCAGCAGGACCTGGCCAGTCTCTCTACTTCACAGCAAGGAAAGCAGGGACTCTAGGCCTAGCTCCACACTGCCCCTTAGTCCTGGTGGTGCTGGAGGTAGGAGTGCTGGAGAACTGATTGGTCAGGAGGCTGCAG